CTATCAACTTTTATGGCACTCCTTATCAAATTCAAGAGATTCAAACAATAAATGAATTCCTAAGGGTTGTAATGGCATCACTAGTCAGTAAGTCTTCCTAAGCTAGGAAACATCCTCATTATAAATCTATAAAAGATCATACTTGTTTGAGGGATTGCACTAATTTCCAAGCAAAGAAGTTCTAATGCTAAGGAAACCACATATGCTTGTTCAAGGGAGGTCTCAAGAAATGAAGCTTAAGCTAAAAAATTGAGGGATAAAATATTAGATAATGCTTAACATTAACAAGAATGCAAGTTTTTTTTTTTTTTGCTATCCTTTCTTGCATTGATTAAATGTGACATTAAAAAAATTGGTATTGATTTATCATATGTTGGGGCTTTTGAATGATAGAGGAAGCATCATGTGATGTAAATGACTAAATATCTATTTTTCCACCTTTTGTTTTAGGATTTTAGTATTTTCCAACTTTTAGGTTGTAAGAAAGCATATAATAGAGAATACTTATTAACAATCCTTGAAATTAAAATATTTATAATAGTTTATAGTAACATATTGAGTATAACCACAATTTCTATAACATAGTAAATAAAAAGTTTGATACAATTAAATGAAATAACATCATTATAAAGTGCCCATATCTGACCACAGCTACATCACTAAAAGAGTTCACATCTAACCACATATACATTCCTATAAAATGTGTTCTTGAAGATCATCATGATTGGGTCAATTTTTATCAAGCAAAATCATATGCATTTTTTATTTTGCATTTTGCATTAAAGCCATCAAGTTTCTGCATTAATTTTCAATAACACGTCCATTAAATGCAGCATCAAATCATTAGAAGTAATGTAATGCCTCTATATAAGCATGATGTTATGTGATTGCCTCTCATATTCAATAAAATCATAACATTCGCCTCAAATAACTCAAATTATTTAATAATTTTTTTCATGACCCTGAGATTTATATATATGACTCTCGCATACATTTGCAAGCATAGCAAGACAACTCAAATGAAAGATTGAGTAAAAATAATAAATTCGAATTTTACTCAAAGTTTCTTCAAACATAAGATCAAAACTTGATCAAAAAATTGTTTGAATATTACTCCAATATTGATCAAAATTTTTGGGGATTGATCAAACTATCTTCGTTACGTGAGCATAGCTTCATTGACTAGTGTTCGATACTAGTACTTACATTTAAACAATATTCAATATTCAATCATATGTTGAACATCTTTCATTCAAGGCCAAAATAATTTTTGAGCAATTTTTAAAGATAATAATCTCATATCTAATGTCTTCTAATTTTACGACTCAAAGTGTAAATGTATAACACCATTGAAGATAGATGCTTTGCTAAATGTGTAACATCATCAATCTTCAATGAGAATCTTTGGTCAGCCATACAGAGAGATGAAAACTAAGATGTAAATCCTATATTAGAACTTAGCCTCAGAATCATCTCTCTTTAACAAGAATTGTTGAAGAAAAAGGTGCTTAGAAAGAACAATAAGGGTCAAAATTTCTTGTGTTAAAAAAATTATTTGATAAACTAGAATATCTTTGAATTCTAAGAATATTTAAAATTGAGTGTAAAATTTAATTATATTTTCTTAAAAAGTAAAATGATGGATATATTTGTGAGCACTATATAAATTCAAAATTTCTCATGGCTAAAAGGTTGCACTTCTTCTTTTTCCCTAATTTTTTTCAATAAGAAAAATTGGAAACACAAAGGGGTTTTTACATACATACCACTTTATACCTTATATTTTACATATCTAACACCTAAAACTTAAATATTACACTTTAACAACTCAAACACAAACTTCACCTCATATCTACCACTCCGTTTCACTCCCGCTCACTCCGTCAAAAAAATAGCCCTAAAAATTCTTCACCCGCCGAAGCTTTCTCTCGGGCAGCAGAGGAAGATCTCGTCGCCGCTTTTCTTACGGATTCGTCTGGATCCGATCAGGTCCGATCGCCAAGTCCTTCTTGAGCTGCAAATCGGTGAGTTCGGGGAGCAGAGATGGGTATCTGGTTTGTCGGAGCAATGGGGGGGCGTGACGGTTCTGAAAATCTGTGGCTTCGGCTGATCATTTGCTTTCTGTTTTACAGAATGTTTTCTCTGTTTTACAGAATGTTTCACAGACTGTTTTCTCTGTTTTGGCCTTTAAACCTCTATCAGTTTTACCCGAATTTTTTTTCGAAGGTTATTAATATGCTTGAATGTATGATGTTCTTGATGAAAGTCTTCGTTGTAATTGTTGTTGTTGATGTAACCATCCGTTTGTGTTTGTAACGTGTTGTGTCGACTGCAGAAAAGGTTGTTTTTGTTATGTTTAGTTTTGCAACCTTTTATTGTTGTGTTGGTGTAGTGTATTGTAAGTATTTATGTTGAATTATTGAATAAATTTAGGCATTATTCTCTCATGTTTGTAATTACTAATTGTTCAGCTCAAAAAAACGTGCAGCAAGGAATTGTATTAATAACCTACAATTTGTGTTCTAATTTGAGTTCAAACAACCTGCAGCAACTGTATATGTATTAATAATTCCAAAGTGAAAATGCAGCAACTGTTTTTAATGTGAGGGATAGTTCAAAATTGCAGCTCAGAGTGAAAATTGCAGCTCGAAAAAACTGCAGCAAACGTCAAAAAACTGCAGAAATGTATAGACGTGAGATAACCTGCAGCAAACGATAACTCGAAAAAACCTGCTCGAAAATGTATAGACGTGAAAAATCCTGCTCGGAAAAACCTTTTTAAGCAAAAAACGTGCAACAAACGTGCAGATTTCATATTTCTTTGAATCAAGAAAATGGCAAAGTCTTCACAACAAACTACTATTTACCAGCAAAAAACCTGCAGCAAACGTGCTAGCCCAAAAAAATTATAACAGTGACATCTTCAAACAAAGTTACAGCTGCTTTCTAGTAGCTAAAAAAAAAAATATGCTTCCTACTAGCTCAAAACGTCATAACAGTCAATGCTATCAATCCTAAAATCCAGCCACATATGAGAACTCGAAATCTTCAAGTTGATGATCCTCTCCATTCCGTCTGCTTGGCAACTTTGTCCGACTTCTTCGTCTAACATCTGTACGCAAATTGTCCTTGTTATTATTATTTTGCAATGGATTTTTGCAAGTACTCCTATGATGCCCCAACAAACCATATCTGCCACACCTATGTGACCTCTTATCCTGCTCCAAGAAATTTAACAATCTTTTTTCCTAGGACTTCCTCTTGGTCTACAAGTACTAGGTACACCAACATTTTCAGTATTCTCTGTAACTTGCCAAAGATCCTTTCCGGGTAATGTGGAAATTGCCCCTTCATATGCTAGTTTGTACCTACACGATAGGCAATATGATAAATCAGCGGTTATTACATGCAAATAATTATTCATATGCATATATTTTACCTATGAACGTGGTAGTAATCATCAACATACGTATGCTACAGCGGGTATTCTTTCATTCCAATGAAAGCCACAGCGTGAATGCAAGGTAAACCAATTAACTGCCACACTCTGCAACTGCAGATTCTTTGTTCAATATCGACAATATGTCTTGAATGAAGACCCTCCACCTCAGCCTTGAAAAGGCTAGATTGTCGAATAAGAAAATGATCTTTCCGCGTTGTGATGTTTCTAATATATTCCTCCACATTTGGAACTAACTCATGTTGCCAACTCAAGCTACTCATCCTTCGATGAGCTCTTTGTACCAAAACTTCATATAAGGTAAGGATAACCCAAATTCTTTTTCTAGACTACTATTTATATCTTTTGGTGGGATATCTGGGCACCTCTTTACCATCTCCTGTATCTCGTTGGCAACCCAAGCAGATGTTGCCAGCCTATTCCCAGCTTGATTTATTCCAGGACATGTGTGTAGTCCATCTAGTCTCCTAACTTGGAAAGATTGAGTGTCTTCACATAAAGAGGCTCGAATTCTCCATTTACAACCTTGATAGGAACAAGTCGCAATCACACGTTTCTTATCGCTGGCTTTTATCTGAACCCCAAAGTTCTCCTTTATGGCAACTGATCGGAGAGCATTCTTGAAACTTTTGCATCATTGAAGAAGGTGCCAATACCTATATCTATACAACCATTATGGATCACAGAACATTCTTCCATATATTCAGCACCAACAACCCCCATGAGGTTTGTGTTTGATTGCTCTCTATCTACCTCTTCTACTGAGATAACTAACTCAGTACGAAAATTTCCACTTGAATGTTTAACCATCTCTACCACGTCTACGTCAGTATTTATAATTTTGTATTCCTTCGGCGATGTTTTGTGAATGTGATAATGCATACTATATTTATACCCTTTAAGCCATGAACATATTTTAAGAATCTCTGTTTTGAGCTTAAAAAGATTCATACTTCCTTTCCAATTTTGACAATCCTTTGTTTGCCACCATTATATCTCTTTCTAAAGTTATCATTGGTATCACACCAAAATCCTCCATATTTAATTGTAACAAAAAAATGACCTTCATTCTCTCCACATAAATCATCACAATCCATTCTAGACAAAGTATGCCACCCACTAGCAATTTCTTTTTCAACTATAACCTGAAATAATAAGACAAATTAAACACCCCATTTTTAGAAAAAAATGTAAAAAATAAAAGAGAATGAGGAGAAAGTAAAGATAATGAGGAGAAAGTAAAAAGAGGGAGAAGGCTATGCAGCTAGTAAAAAGAGGAGAAACGAAAACGTTCTGTGCGACAAAACAGAAGAAGCCGAACAAAACAGGGATGTCTCCAGCCTTCGGGATTTACGTGCTACAGCGCAAAATTTCAACGCTGGAAATGGGGAGATGAAACGGAGTGAGCGGGAGTGAAACAGAGTGGTAGATATGAGGTGAAGTTTGTGTTTGAGTTGTTAAAGTGTAATATTTAAGTTTTAGGTGTTAGATATGTAAAATATAAGGTATAAATTGGTATGTATGTAAAAACCCCAAACACAAATGAGGTTCGTGGTTCGATGATAGATGGAGGAGAAAAGCCCATGGCAGAGGAGAGAAGAAACGGAACGGGACAACCTTGCCGATTCCCTCGAGCGTCTATTCACAGACGTTTCCGCCATGGTCAAAGGCGATCTCCAGGTTTTCCCTTGTTTCCTCCTTCACTTTTACCCTCGTAGCTGTTTTCATATTTTTTTTCATTGCGAACAACGATCCCTCGTATCGGGTTTTTTTCTTTTTTCAAATCGGGAAAATATTGACTTTAAGCCCTATTGTTTATCCTTCGATTTCAAGACCCTCCAACCTAAAGAGTTGATCTAATGTCAGGTTTAACAATTTTAATTGGAAAGAAGGGGGACATTGTAAAACAAAAATAAGATTCTGCTTTTAATTCTCCAAGGTGAAACTTGAACCTTTGTTCGGCCCAACTAATGAAGATTGAAAACTAGAAATGATGCCAGCTTTAATGTACTTCTAGCTGTTAACAAGTATTGTTTCGTATCAATTACAGAATAGGTTCAAAGTTTCTTCAAGTTGAGACTTGAGCTTGATAACATCAAAAGTGCATTCTAAGCTAACTTTGGTCAAGCTGCAATTCAGCTGCTACGAGGAGCTTCAAGTTTTTAATCTGCTCGACTCTTCTGCTTTGAATGCATTGAATAAAAAATCGAGGACAAAAATGTCTAGAGGTTGATGTAGGCCAGAAAATAGTTAGTATAGGTCAATTGATTGCTTAAAATCATAATGGCTAGAAGTTGATATTGAGTCATGATTGACTGTCAGGTATTACTTATTTAACTCTTGGGTTGATTTCATTCAGTCACCATTATATTTACTCTTACTTTGGTTCCCAATGTAACTAACAGCAACACTTATTCATTGATTTAGGGTGTCTTCATTTTTACCATCGCATCTTACAATTTCAAGTCCTTCACATCATTGGATTATGAGAACAATTTATGACGAACATGATTTCCATTATGATGGAATGAATTATGCCACTAAGCTTACAACTATGCCTTGCTCCTATAAGGAAAATGTAATCTCGGATGATTAACTCAAAATATTGCCTATGCAAGAGAAGTTAGATCTCAGATGCAAAACTCAAGTAATTTGATTAATTGAGAAAAGTGGAATTCTGTAGTTATGATTATCTTATCTGAGATGTAATTTTGGTAAAGAAAGGATGGCAAAGGGAGACCAAATGATGAGGACATCGGAGATCAACGGCTACGATCTTGATTCTATTTATTTATGTGTTTTATTTTATTTTGTTGTTTTTTTCCTTTTTATCCTTATGGGTGGGCATGTAATGTTGTAGCCCGAAGGGCATTTTAGTCGTTACCTCTTATCTTTTCTTGAGGTCTATTTATAGGCTAGTTTCTTGTAATTTGATGATGATGAATTATTGATAATGAAAATTTTATGTTTTTATTGATCTCTTGGTGAGTTCATGTTGATCTCTTAGTGAGTTCATGAGGGGAGAAGCCCGAGGAGGGTGATTTGCAGTACCCGTCAATCTTGGTGGATTCCAAGGTTCGCAGATCTCTTATCTTTCTTTTCTTTTCTTTTTTTTTTCTTGCATCGAATTCCCTCCCCAAACTTCCCACCCGCCGGCCTCATTACCCACAAAGCTTTTCTTTGTAATTTTTCCCTACCCGAGCCTTCCCCTTGCCGCCGGCCTCCTTAGAACATCCAAGCCACCGACTTCCTCCAATCCACTCGCCGGCCAACCACCTGGCCGCCGACCTCTAGCTAGCCACCCGTCCGGCCACCATCTTCCGTGCTCAATCCGCTGGCCCCCCTTCACCCAACCCTCATGTTTGAAATTCAAATTTCAAAGGGGCATTAATTGCTTCCCTAAAATAAGGCCAAGTAATTAAGAGAGCTATTAATTGAATTTCAAATTCAAATTTCAAATTCAAAAGCTTTCCAAAAACTAACACTTAAATTAGGAACCCCCTCCCCTCCAAAAAAAAAAATGAAAATTAATTCATATTTTATTTAAACCTTTGATTAGTATGTGGGCCCCACTTCATTAGCCTTAATTCCACTCTCCCCTCTCTCGCTATGGCTGGCCCCTCTTCATGCTCCTTTTCTCTCTCCAATTTCATTAATAGCCCCTTATTAAGCCTCCCTAATTACCTCCCACAATTCCCTTTCATCCAATTTAATTCTCGCCATTAAAATTTGAATTTAAACTCAAATTTATCTCGCCAAATCCACTTAATCTGAAAATTAATTTCAGATTTCTATTATCAACTTGATCTAATAGGCTGTCCAGCCATTCTTACCCATGAAATACTGTCCAGAAAACTTCCAACCAGCAATTTTTCCACCACGTCACTCCCGTCTACTAACTAGCAACCCTCCAAGAGCAGCCTAGGATTTCCTAGGCACTACAGGTTGTCGTTCAGGCTACCCCCAAGCATCAAGATTGCTGGCCAAGACTTGCATGACTGTTGTCCAAAACAGATTTCTGCATCTAGAGAGGACTCCACCTACTTTCTTGAAGTCCAGAACAGGAAATTGCTGTCCTGTATTCCCGGAATCCTCGTTTTGCTGTTTTGGAGGCCTCCAATCCCATTCCAGCCAATCCAGCCGAAGGTTTTCTCTGCTCAGGAGTCCTAACCGCAGCCACATATCTTCTCTCAGTGAGGGGTCCTTGCATAGCAACTATTCTCATTGTTAATTTAGGGATTTATTGTTGAAACCATTCATGTATGCAACCTTAGATTGACTTGATTGTTTTATGATCTTAACTCTTACGCGTGTGATTCAGCCTAAGCTAGTTTTACCGCTCTTAGTGTTTTTTTTGTCGTTAGAAAATTCATTGTGAATATATGATTATTGTGGCTTCTAACACTTAGGCATGCAAACTCTTCAAGTAATTCAACTTTGCATGATCGTTCTGCATCACCAAACTTGGCAAAAAATCTTTATACCCCAGTTTTGACACGTTCAAGTTGAATAAATGGATGTTTGGGCATGTGAAGTTGATTGGATGAATATGAATAATTCTCATGTTAACATTTTCTGCATTGTTGTCAAGAGTATGATGTCTATGGAGGGCTATTTCTTAGTGTGTGAGTTGGTAATGCTGAAATAGGATATATGGTGATTTTAAAATATGGGAGATCATAGAAATACAGGAATAAAAATGTATAGTTGGACATGATAATAACCTTGGTTTCTTTTTAATTTAAAAAACTAAGCTTGAATTGTGGGTTTACGAATGTTTTGCTAACCCAGTGCAATAATGTAAGAGAAGCTACTTTTTCCCAGTTGTATTCATAAAATAGATGGGCATAGAGAAATGAAAATACTTCTCATCACTAAAACTGGGTCTCTTTGTAATGAACATCATATGGATTCTTGTCTAAAATATTAGGTGTATAGTGTCATACCCCGGGTCTGTAAGGCGGTACACCCTGGCAACACAGGATGCGATGAAGTGATAGGAAGACCTATTTTCTATTCACAAAGAGAAACATGCATATACAAGAGATGCAACATGATATATATATATATATATATATATATATATATGCATCAAAGTAACATAGGAAGTGATAAGGAGCAAATTCATTAATAGAAGTTCAAATATCTAAAACATCCAAATAATATGAATTCTGATACAAGTTAACAAAAATGTAAATATAACGAAAAACAAGAAAGAAAAAACCCAACCCACATAAATTATAAACATAAGCATAATAAACTACTACCAAATAATAAATATAAAAAATAGCCTACTGCTGATAACCCGGCTCCTGAGGTGGCGGTCCACCAAACACCTTGCAAGACCCGCTGAAAAAGACAAAGAGTGAGTTTGATAAATCAAACTTCAGCAAGTAACCACTATCTATCAAAATATAAACAACAAAAGAATCAGCCATGCAGTATGAATAACCAAAAGAGAGTACTAATGATGTAGGCAAAAGAGGTCTATTGGTGTTCCCCATGCTTATTTTAATTCCCAATAGCTGTCCCTTTGGATTCTGTGTTGATGTTTTGGTTTTCCCATCATTAGATGCCGTGTGATGCTTCGGTTTTCCCATAAAGCTACTATTTTTTTGCTTTAATTTTCCCTCCTACGACTGTCCGTTTGGGTTCCGGTGTGCTGCAGTTTTTAATGTGTTTTTATTGGCTGTTTTTGAGGTGCATTAATTACATGTATTATTTTTTTTAAACCTTTTCTTCCTCTATATAAGAGATGTTTTGTGGCTTTTTAGGTAAGTGTTATGTGATAGTTTTTGGAATGAAACCTGCGGGTTTTGACTAGCTTGCGAGTTAGCCTCCTTTCCCCTTCCCCTCTTATAATTCGTCTCGGTCTTTTAACCTCTTCTTCTCTATCCATGATTCCCGCCCCATTTGTATCTTTCTTCTCTAAATTAATATAAGTTATATGTTTGTAAGTTTGTTATGATTATATTGTAAGGAAGTCTCTATTTTTTGTTAGATTTTGCAAATCTTTCATTTGCATCAACTAACCTATAATCACTATATCAAAATCTGCCATGAGATATGCTATGTTTTATACAGCATATTCTAATATGCATGAATATATGCCGATTAGCTATTGATGTCAATTCACTTCAAAGTTTATAACTGTACTACACTAGGTAATATTATACCTCCAAATGACCTATCAGTCATTTATTTCTTCCAATTCATGTTGCTTATGTTTTATACATTTAAACATAGATATATTTATTGTTAGTTTATCATATAACCATACCGGGAAGGTAAACACATATCCAAGGAAATCTAGTGATTTCTTTTTAAGAGTACTCGTTTTAGATATCTTAGATCTATTGTTCACTGTGATGGTGAAATATATGGGGATATTATCAACATAATTCAAGTTGGATGGTTGAAGTGGAGGAATGCATCGGGCTTGTTGTGCGATAGAAAAGTCCCCCTCAAACTTATGGGAAAGTTTTATAAAATGATGGTGAGACCTGCAATGCTTTATGGTGCCGAATGTTAGCCATTAAAAGAGAATCATAATGCTAAGTTAAGTGTTGCAGAGATGAGGATGCTTAGGTGGATGAGTGGCTTTACCATTAGAGATAGGATACGAAATGAGTATATATATGAAAAGGTTGGAGCAGCTCTAGTGGAAGATAAGATTAGAG